GATGCTTGAGATGATTCTTTTCAAAGTTAGTTATACCTCGGTAGCAGGTATTTCTCCAGTTTGCTTGGTTTTCAATAACAAGTTTGAACTCCTCCATCAGAATGTTTGCAGCAATTAAAATGTATTTAAGCTTGTCCTTGAAGCGTAACCAAGGACAGACTATGTTACGCTTATCATTGGCTATACATGAGGATTTTTGGCATCCGATCATCACTCGTTCTGATGACATGACCAGCCCATCTGAACTGTGATTGCATTAGAAAGGATTCAATACCTCTGACACTACATTTGATGAAATGATTAGGGTTAGAGATTTTGTCCTGCCATGTATAATTGAATATTGAGCATTTATGAAAAGCATCAAGTTGATTGATGTGTGTCCTGTATGGCATCTATGATTCTGATAAAGAAGTGTGGTAAGAAAAGACTGCTCAATAGACATTGATTTTTGTTTTCAATGCTTTAGCTTCCAAAAGGCATTATATATATATATATATATATATATATATATATATATATATATATATATATCATAAGGTACATAATTATCCATTAGGTACAATCAATTTTATTTAAAATAATGTAATTTCCATATAAAATATTGAAACAGATATTGTGTTTTGTTTATATAGTAACAGATTCTTAAACATTAAATATTTCAAATCCATTTCATAAACTTTTTACATAGACATCATTAAGAAATTGGCAAGGATAAAATTATTGCTATACACTGAAAATTAATTTATTCATGGAATTCATGAACTATATAATATTTAAATTATGTTATGATCAGGTCATCTGTTAAGCTGTGTCTATGAGTTGTAAATTAAAAAAAAAAAACTAAAGTTTACCATAATGAACATTTGAGTCATTCACCTCAAAGCCAAACAGCAACAAAGCGTAGGTAGAGTCGTCAGCAGATTTAAAACAATAAATTTTCAACACTTGCAATTCATAATATCAGTCTATATCTGAGATGTAAAATTTTTAAATGTTTACTCTAATGAATTCTTCACTTCAAGTTGGCTATCAGCAAAAAACAAAAATGGCGTAGGTGAAAGAGCTGTTTGTGGATTTAAAACAACAAATTGTGCATGTTTGCAATTCAGAAATGAGCTAACAGCAGCTAAGCAGTTTTCACGACCCAATTTGAACTGACAATATTTTTAAGCAAATGAATGACTATGGAAAAATATGATGATTGTGTGTGAATGCAAGAAAAAAACTAAAATTCTGTTGAAAGATATTATTTCAGATTTGTCAAAAAAGAGAATAAATGCAGAATATTGCACATTAAACAGGAAATTCAAGAAACATCTTCTCAGTAGTTACCATTCAAGAAAAACACCTTTGTTCAAAAATCATCATTGTCGCAATGCTTAATTGAAATTTGTAAATATCTATTTAGAAAAAGATAGGGATTATTACAACATAGTTTTACGGAGTGATGAGACTAAAATTGAGTTGTTTGAATGTAATCAGACATTACAAGTGTGGAGGAGGACATGGACCCCAGGAAGATCATGTGGGGGTGACAATCTTATGCTTTGGTAATATTTTAGTGGAAATGAAATGGACAGTTTATGTAAAACTCGCAGTAGAGCCCGGCATTGGCCGGGGATGTAATAGTAAGAGATAGATCAAGTATCGACCATCATAAAGACTAAAAAATAAAATTGACAAAGATTATTGTTTAAGGTTGACGGACACGCATGTCTTAATTAGTTTTTTTTTTGTTTTTTTTATGAATTGGTCAAACCCAAACAAAAATAAAAACATTGTTTTCAATCGTTATGAGTCTACCGATTGAATAGAATTTTATTATAAACAATTGTCTGGTAAATGGAATTTTTAAAGCATTCTGAATGTAAAAATAAAGAAAAAAAGTGTGTGCAAGACAATAAGAAACACCACTGCCAAAAAAAAAAAGTGAAGTTTACATTTGAAATCGGTTGAAAATGAAAATCCGATCCCATATGTAAAATGAACACACACACACAAACAACATGGGTTTTATAATAAGTATAACTTGAAATGAGTTGTCCCTTTCATTCTGGTGACAGAATCATGTTTTCAAATTGATTTCTGTGCAAAACAATTGTAATTTTTGGTGCTGTCAACCACCGCAAGGTAATTTTACGCAGTCCTGTGAAGTTATGTTGAAATCGGTTGAAAAATGTAGAAACCGATCAATATATAAACGTACAGAGAGACACACACACACAATCTGCGTTTTATAATAAGTAAGATCATGTGAACCATGAAAAAAAGAAAAATACAGGAGAAATGCTTTAAAAATGCTATTAAAGGAAAATTTGAAAGATTTTTTTCATTTTCTAACATGATAATGATCATAAACACACAAGTGCACTGGTGACAAAATGGCTTGATGAAAACAAGATCAGTCACTTTGGCATGGAATAAGTACAGTCCTAAATCCAACTTCTCTTTACCATCAACATGGCTGACACTAGACTCCTGGAGAGCAACACTCTGTGCCTTCTTAGCCTCATGTTTTCCACTGACTTAAAGTGAAGCAACTATATTGAATCAATAACGGCAGCCAATGAAAAGAAAGTTGAGTGACTGACTGACTGTGTTGTGCCGGAAGATTTTTCTCCTAAGAATCCATCTTGCATATTAAACAAATCTACTGTTCATCCATGTACTGAATATCATTGTCAGATCTAGTTTTGTGCTCCTGCTGCACATCTTGAGGTTCTTGAAAAAATCCAAAGAAGGATTTGTAATGTAATCAATCATGATTTGGTATCTCAACATCAATCACTTTCTCACTGATGTGGCTTCCCTCTGTCTTTTTTACAAATATTTTCATGGCAAATGCACAAACCTTTTTCCCCTGGTACCTCAACTACATGAATTTAAGCATGCTACTAGATTAGCATCTAGGTCCCACCCTTTTAATATTGAAATAGCTAAATGCAACTGCTACTTCTACTCCAACAGTTTCTTTTCTTGCATATCCTACCTGTGGAACTTTCTTCCATTTACTTGCTTCTCAGATAACTACAATCTTCAAAAATTTAAATACAACATCAATCACCATCTCCTGTCTTCATGAACCCTGTTCATCTTTTGTCCTTTCTTTTTGTCAATCCTCCCTATTCTCAGTCTTCTCTTTCACTTCGTGTAACCCCCTGCATAATAGTGTCATCCCCACCTTGCTTGGGGTGAAAAGATTAAAAAAAAACAAAAGATTTGAAGCAAGAACTTAAAATTAGGGTTCATTCAAGACAACTTTTGAAGGATGGAACAATATGCCAAAATAAATTTTTGGTAACTTGGTTAATTACTATAGAAAATGGTTATGATCAGAATAACAATGCCATTGACTAATTGAAGCTGACTGATGATTTTGTTCCTGTTTTGTTTATAATGTTACTGTATTGAATAAAAAGTTTCTGAAATAAATTATGACTATTCAATGCTGTTGCTCCTGAAAATATTCTTTTATACATTGGAAAATATCTGTTTCAATCTTTGAAAAATGGATCCTATTATTTTAAAAGAATTTGATTGCACTAACACAAGAGGTCAAAACTTGGATTGAAGATGGTTATAATGACAATAAAAATATGATGAAGGTATTGTTTGTCATTTATTTGAAACTAATCAAATTATCAGTGCAAATAAAGCATGAGTTTATATAATATAAATTCAATTTGCATAACTTCTTATGTGAGAGAAATGAAAAAGAAATGTCTATTTTAATTAGTTTTTCATTATTCATATTTATGTACATTCATTTTCAGTGTCCCCAGTTACATACAGTAGCTTCTTAAAGTGAATTTTATATACAAATGATCACCAAATAGAAGGCCTGAGAGCCACTGAAGGTAGAGGGTTAGTGTACAGTATTATACAAATGTAAAAAAACAGCAAGAAGTTCATGTTATGCAGGAAAAATAATGGTTAACCGTAGACTTGAAGAGTTCAAGATTGTATTGATTGGGAAAACATCCGGCCGAGAGCAGGTTTCACAAGGCAGCAGTTTTTGGGAAGAAGCTGTTCAAATGGAACCTACCATTGAAATACAAAGGGAATGGTGGTGATTCACCCTTGTGTATGTGACATGGTGGGTTCCAATTGCAAAGGTCGGGGGGGGGATTAAGGAATGTAACTTATCCAAACATATATCATGGAAATAAATTTGATCTACATAAATTCTTATGACCATGGTAGAGAAATGAAAAAGAAATGTCTATTTTAATTAGTTTTTCATTATTCATGCCTATCGACATTCATTTTCAGTGTCACCAGTCTCTTACAACTACTTCTTAAAACCAAAATTTTGTGATAACAGCAACAAAGATTGTCCGAGAGTTGATGCATAAATAATCTAAATACAATAAATGTTCCCCACTCTCACCTATGTTATTTCTTTAAAATAGAAATGCAACTGATAAACTGAATAAGATATCCATTTCAAAATATTGCACATAAATCATGAAACTCTAACATTTAATCCATATTCACAAATAAGAAACATAAAAGTTTACCGTCCAGGGTAAGACGGTAAACTATGTCCAACAGCAAGGCCTCTGATCAGGAGGCTTTGTGGAGGATAGAACCACCTCTTAATTGCTGATGTTCCCAGGCCCACCCTGACCGGGGTGGTAGCACTTGCTAGGGTCCCAGCTATGGGCAAATAGTTAACCCCGAAACTGAGGTAAAAAGCATTATGAAGATGTAAAAATAGGTTTTAATACCAGAAATACTTTGTGAAAAATTATTACCAGAAATAAATTTTTGAAGAAAAAAAAAATATTACCAGCAATACTTTTTTGAAAAAAAAAAATATTACCAGCTATACAATTTTGAGGAAAAAAATATTACCAGAAATATATTTTTGACAAAACAAAAATATTACCAGGAAAAAAAAGTTGTTGGCATTAAACCAAACGAAACGTAAAAGTTTAAAAGTTACATAAATTAACTGAACAACATTTTTTTTTTTTGTTTTTCCATCACACACTTACCTTTAGCTTCTTCCTCATTTTTGACCAGCACAATGACATTGTTAAAAAGGCGGGTGCTCGGGGCACGGAATGTGTGAAAAAACCCTTCTTCTGCAAAATGGTGGTAATGAATTCGCATGCATGTATATTTCGACTTGAATATCGAAGGTTCCAGACCTGCAATGAAGATTAAGAAGTTTTAAAAGAAATGCTTGTTTTGCTATGGGGGAAAAAGAAAAAAAAAAGCAGATGCAATTCATTATCAGCTCATATTGCAAGCAAAAAAATAAATCCCTTCTTTCCAACATTTGAATCTGCACTTAACAGATACCAAGTTTTTTGGGTTTTTTTTTGCGGGGGGGTTCTGGAAAACAAAGTCAAATGTTACTCCATGTAGAATCATTTACCATATTTATTACCCCCCCCCATCTTCAACCGTGACAAGAGAAAAACAAATATAGTATTAGTTTATTTATGAATGCAATTTTCTGGCAATTTGTTTTATTTTGTCAATGATGCAAAATCAAAAATACAGTAGTTCCACTCTGAAACGCTTATAACTGACAAATCTGTTTTTATGATAGTGTTTGTATGACTTAAACAACATGCACGCCAGGTCATTGGATATACTTTTGTAGCAGAAGCTCTCTTATCTTTCCCCACTTTTTTAAGAATCCAAGAATATCCGAGTCGAGGGTTTACTGCAATCAAATTGGTTTGACATGAAACCAATGTGACATAATAGTTCATTTTTATTGGTTGGAGATGTTTATCTAGTTAATATGATAGTCAAAATAACCCACTGTCATTTTGGCTGAGTGATGAGACAGCTGAAGATTTGTGTGTCATCCATTTCTGAGCAGTCCGTATTTGCTATATAGGAATCATTTTGAACAGTAACACTTTTTCTTTTTTTTAAAATGCCATGTCCCTTCAGAATGTGACTGATTATGACTCTCCACAGATATTCATCACCAATGATTACTGAGGTTAGGAAGCCTAGTCTACTCCACTATTTAACCCATAGCTGAGAGAAGGAGAAGAGATAGATTTGTGCCATTCTTCAAATGTGAATACACCAGACAAAACTGGAATTGGAATTCTGTTCACTAATCCCACTTTCTGTGTTGATATCGATTATTTCAGTCACACATCCATAAAAGTAAATAAAATAAAAAATAATAGAAAGCTACAGAATGAAAGTTATACTAGACAAGAATTAATCCTATCCTATATGAAGGAATGTTTATACATAAAGGAAAAATATCCCAAAAGGAGATTTTTTTCTAGCTTTTTCAGTTTATAAACTGAAAACGTTGTCCTATATAAACTGAAATACATCTGTGAATTTTTCTTTATGTAGATCAAATTAAATTCCATTCTTTACTTATGGATTTGAAAGAAAATAAATTGCATTTCGGTTGCCATTTTTTAAATTTCAAACGCATGTCTTTTCATATTCAAAGCAAGGCTCAGAATATGAGTTTTATTCAAAACATTTACACTTGATGGGAGATAAATGAATGTAAAAATAGTTTGAAATGCTAAACTGAATTTTTTTTTAAATATTTGAAATGATACCCTACATATTTTTTTACAAGGAATAATATTTATTTACACAATTTACATTCACACTATTGTCCTCATTTTTGTTGTCGTTATCACAATGTTTCAGATCTTGTGCCCTCCAGCATTGTATACCGATCTGGGAATTCTGAACTGAATCCTTTATTTAATCTATGGGGTTAGACTGTTCTCGTTCCACTGCCCTCGTTTTATGATATTGCCTATTTTCATACTTCTCAGTTATTGCGTGCCCTATTTTCCATTAATGACAATTACACACTTTGAGAGTCATTTAAACAGTGCAGTGGTTCACTTACTTCTCACCAGTGGAATAGAAAGGGAATAAAAGGAGGGTTTGCTAATATGTGTGTAGCATGACAGGTTTTAGCCCTGATGGTTAGAACTGGTCAAATTAAAGAATGTAGTTCATCTGAGCACTTTCCATAGGAATAGCAATAGAGCAGTGAGATGCTTGTGACATTTGGTCAGTGAGAAAGGGGTTGCAGGATGAAAAATAATTTGTTACCCACAAGGACACGTAAACACTTTTGGATAGAAAGTAAAGACTGGGAAGCTTCTACCCAAATATGGCAGCAGTACTTCATTCTCCTGATCTGGCTCTTGTAAAGGTAGAGCATAGCATGAGGTTCTACTAAAAAATGCTGAGAATATCATGGACATTGATGCAATAAGGAATTTTTTCTGGAACACATAATGAGAAAAGGTAGTTCAGAGAATTTAACATACACAGGACATAAATGAAGATAAGAGAAGCAAACATAAACAGTAAAAGGTTATGGCACATAAAAGAATAATGTTCTGAGGATGATGTCAATAAACATCGAAATATTAATGAAATTAATCATCTTGTTTGTTATACAAATATTGCTTCCTTATTATAAATTAAAAAATTATTTCATTCTAGAAATTTTGGGGGAATCCACATCTATATATACTTCTTCTACATTCTATATCCCTTCAGTATGTGAACGGTCATGACTCTCCACATCATCCTATCCTTTGTAGCTTTTAGTTAATTTTGTTTTTCACCATCCCTCCCAGTCCCTGTTTTGCTATCCATCTGCAAAAGCTTATTAGGTAGCTTATTAGCTGTTTCCCTGTGTTTCTCTTGCTTTCAATATATCCTATGAGTGTCAAATTCTCTAATCCCTCTTTCCTCATTATGAATCTGAGAAATTTCAATTTCCTCTTTCTGACTTTAAGCATATGTGTCCATTTTGTTTTCATTATCTTTAAAACTTCCTCGTTACTCATATGTTTTTGTCTGTGGTATTATCAGAATCTTTTCCGTTACCTCAAGTCTTTTCTTTGTGAGATTTTCTAGCATTCACTGCCCTATAGGTGAACTCGTATTGCATAACAGTTCAGTACTTTTTTCTTTGTTTCTAACAAAATTTTCCTGTTTCTTAATACTTTACTTAGCTTTTGGAAGGTATCTCTCAACTATTTCAATGTGACTTTGGATTTGAATGTCACATTTTCCAACCTTTTTTTTTAGTTTCAAAATTTTGATGTCTTTTGAGAGTCAAATTTTCCAATCCTTTTTCCTCGTTATGTTTCCAAAAATATTTCTTTCTGATTCTAATTATAAGCCATTTTGTTTCCATTTTCCTTAAGACTTCCTTATGTCTTACATCTGTAGTAATCAAAGCATCCTTTTATAAAAGCACATTTCTGTTGCCTCAAGTCTCTCTTTAATTTGTGAGTCAATTGTTTAGCATTTACTGCCATATAAGAGGACTGATATTTCATAACAATTCAGCACTCTTTTCTTTGTTTCTAACAAAATTTTTAAAAATGGCCAACAAAAAAAAAACATCCTTTCAGTGACATTGTTAATTCACTACTTTATTTTATTGTCTTTCTTTTCCTCCATTGCAAATCTATGAATGAAAATATATTTTAAAAAAAAGATATAATACAAAAGTTGTGCTGATTTACAACTTCTGTAATAACTTTGATAGAATAAAAACATTTTGTCCATTAGATAAACTAAAGACTGACATGTAGACAACAGTTTTATTCAGAAAAGAAAATGTAATGTAAAAAAGAAAAGAAAAAGAGTTAAAAAGCTGAGAAACAAAATAAGAAAAAAGTGACATACAAGCAATGCTTGGAAAATGAATGGCCACATAGCCATAGAGACGAGAAAAAGTATTTTCTGTCATAATTAAAATACTTTTTCAGGCAGAAATATAATAAATTCTCTGTCTCTATTTCTGAGATGAGGTATTGTAATTATTTACACTATTTACATTGTTTGGTCTGTCATCTTCATGTTTATTGCTGTATTTACAACATTTCAGCCATTGTGTACTTTGACCATCTTCATGGCCAAATAGACAAAAGCATTGGTTGGTTAATCCAAAAGTGACTCTAACCTGAAGTTCAATACCTGGTCATAGCAGAGGGAACAAAAACTTCAAGGGGAATTAACTAAAACTGAGATATCCAAAAGAAGGCATGGCACATGGAACTAGAACAAACTACCCCTGTAGGCTAGATAAAGTGTTTGGTTCAAAATTCCAGTGTATATCACTTGAAGAAGACTGGAGCGTACAATGGCTGAAACATCATGAATATGGCAAAAAAGATGAGGAAAACAGTCATAAAAATGTAAATAGTGTAAAGATAATAAATTCTTTACATAAAATTAAGAAATTGTTTTTATATACAATGATACCTCAGTTTAAGTAGTTTTGTGTTAAGTCATTTTCAAATATATGTCAGTTTTTCTTAGATATTACATGGAAAAATAAAACTCGCCTTAGGTTGTTTTACTCAAGTTTATGTCAACTATTAAAAATAGAAAAGTCAAACCACTAAAATAACAATAAATATAAAATCATATTTAAAAAAATTTTAAAATAAAATATAAATATATATAAAAAATCATATTTAAAATAAAATATATATATATATATATATATATATATATATATATATAAAATCATATTTAAATAAATTTTAAATAATATTATGAATACTATATATACACACACACACACACGTATATATATATATATATATATATATATATATATTTTTTTATGTTTATACATTCTTTTTATAGATACAAATATTTAAGTAAATGCCTGTTTATAAATATTTATAAATATGTTTAATTAAATATTTGTATCTATAAAAAGAATGTATAAACATAAAATGTAAAAAATAAATTGACTTTGTCCATTTCATAATATATATATATATATTATATATATATATATATATATATATATATATAAAAAACAAAAAAATTAGTATAATAAAATATGTTCAATAGATGTTCTTATTTCAAATTCCTGTGAATAGGTGGCACTTGTGCAATTTTGAATTCAGACTTGTTTACATCTGTGCTATGCCATTGACTTTCTTTCAGTTACATTTCAATTGTGATTTAGAATACATTTTTACCCATGGTTCTGAAAAAAAGTCCCAGTGCAGGTGCTAATGCTAAACGTAAGCCTATATCACTAGAAGATAAGGTGGAAATGAATTATTTTACTCAGAATACTGTAATGGGGAGTGCTTATTTGTCGTTTATAGTGTGGTTATTTTGATCTAAGTCGTGACCCCTGGAACCAGTT